AAATAAAGGAGCATGCAAGCTCGCTGCTTGCTGTACGGTTGGACATAAGATACAATTTTGGTGATTTGTGGTGCTCTTCTTTGGAGCTTGCGACCTTGTGGAAGGTATGAGAGGGAAAGGAATTGCAACTCGTGCTTGTGTATTCTGCTTTGGAGGGTGACAATTTGTGAAGAAGATGAAGGTGGCTAAGTGTGATTATGAATAGATGAACAAAAACTCAGGTTTGTCTCATCATGCGCATATGGAGAGAATAGAAAGATGGTAAAGCTATCCAATAATCTGAACCAAAAACTAACAAGGGAAAAATCAGATTGGTTATACTCCTATTAGGTGCACCAGGAGAGGGGATAAGGTGGATGATGGTGTAGCCTCTTGACCAATAAGGAGACATGTATGCAGATTGCTTTCCTCTCATTGGGTGCATGAGGTGGCAAATAAGGCTGACTTGATGTTGTACACAATCACAAGCAACCAGAATTTTTCTCCCTACACTAGACGCATGAAAGGGGATATAAGGATGGATGGACTTTGCCATGTGGTAGTACTTGACCAATGAAATGACCATGCAGATTTTTTATTTTTTTTTTAATTTTCTTATTTGGGTGATTAGGGATGAAACTTAATGGATCAAAGGTTGAACTTAAGTCCTCCAAGAGACTTGGGTTGTCGTCCACTTGGGCTAATTGGACCCCAATTTAACTTCTTAATGTACCTATTAACTCATGACAATTACCAAGCAGTAACTAGGATTTTTGGTACGTCATAATTTACAATTAATCCTATCCTAATTATACATTCAATTCGACTGCAAGCCATACCTCCATATTCCTAATTGCAATTTAAATACACTTCCTAATTTAAGCGGGATGTTACACTCTCCCCACCAAAATTTGAAGTTTGTCCCCAAACTTCGTCCTACTACCCCAAACTGCTTAAGTCAAATACCTAACACATTGCATTCATGCAAGGCATCGTATTACATTCAGATAGTCGTCTATAAAAGTAATCAATCATTAATTCAGAGTGTTACAAACCGATTGTATTTTACATGTTCATTAGATATATATGTAACAAAATTTTACTCACACGGAAGGGAATAAAAATTTTCCTAAGCTTAATCATAACAAAACAAGTGTCTGATTTCTTTTTAAACAACATCAAAGATCATACTGCAACCAAGGTGGAGTAAAACCGACACATAGTCCCACTAAACGAAGAGACTCCAGCTATCCAAAAATTATAATGAAGCTCAGGGCTTTAATACATAATTAGTTGGCACACTAGACAAATCCATTTACAAAACACTTCTTCACTATATAAACTTTATACTCGATAGTTGGAAGAAAACAGCCACCTAGGTTTATGTAATAACCCAAAAATCTTGTACTCAATATTAGCCTAATGAAATGAAATGAAAAGGGATCAAGTCCATATTCAGTGAACGAGTAGCTTTGAATAAGCAACATTAATCCTAAGTTAGAACCCACTTTAAATAAGATAATTAATAACTCAGCCCAATGTGGTTTAAAGCCCAAATAAAGTTAAAGCCCAACCTACTTAAGAATATAACTAAGTTAAAGGATTCAAGCCCAAAGCAATGCAAGCCCATTTTATAAGAAATGGCCCAATTAGCATCTAGACCAAGATCCAAGCCCACACCACCTAGCCTTGACCCAATTACAAAGGGTCCAACACTTATTAACCTAATGGGCCAAGACACTCACCAAGCCCAACCCAATTCAAAGGAACAACCCTAGATGAGGTGTTATCACATGATTGGAGGAATTTGAATGAGCTCCACCTCCCTTGGAATAGCAAACTTGGCCATGACAAGAAGAAAAGGGAGTGGTGTTGCTTTCCACACTCCCTAGGCGCCACTTAAGGAAAGAATGGACAAGTAAGAGCTTGAGTAAGACACACTCCAAGCCTTAACCATGAATGTGATTTCCATCCTCCAAAAGCAACTCTACTTTCCATACCCACCTTGGATGACGCAAAATGATGGAGAAAGGAAGATTGCTTCTTCCACACTCCAAGCCTTAACCATGCATGTGATGATCTTCTCCAAAAAGCAACTCACCTTTTCTCCTTACACACCTTGGAGGGCGCACTCATGACAAGGAAAAGGGAAACTTTCTTCTCCCACACTCCAAGCCATGCATGACACATCAAAGACTCATGAACCCAATACTTTCCTTATTCATGATTAAAAAGTAGATCCACTTTTCCCCTCCCCCTAGGCGAAATTGTCATCATGAAAGGAGTCAAGAGCATGACTTGTCTTACACACTCTATATTGAGTGTTGCACACTCAAAGCTACCTTATTCAACCTCCCTGCATTGGGAAGAACACCATGACACCTTAAGCTCCCACCCTCCCTCTTTATGCGAAACCCTCATCACTTGGTGCATGACATGGAGCTTGCTTGTTTTACACACCACACATTGAGTACCCTACACAACCATGACACACGCTAACCAATGATCTTATTGGTGAATCAAAGTTGAACCTTGCTTTCTCTACCCTAGGCGTGAGATGCAAGAAGGAAACACTCAAAATCCCTTCCTCCCCTAGATCCACGTGAAAGACTTCATGAAAAGGAGATGGAGTATAGAACACTCAAGCATGACTACCTCTCCTCCCCATGCGCACACCTCCCCAAAGGACCAAGGAGAATAAGTAACTTATATGACACCTTGAGTGTCCTACACTCTACACACTCTCATTACCCCCATGCTTATGAAAACCTTGAACAATGTGAGGAGACTTGCTTACCCCACACTCAACCAAGACCTAGCCTATCCTATCCTAGGCATGATGATTAGGGAGACTTGAATAAAAAGGTGTACAAACAAAGATCTCTCCCCTTCCTAGCCGTACACTACCTAAAGAACCAAAGCAAGGACACACTCCCTCACTTCTAGCGTCGGCCACCCACTCATAAACAAGAAACAAGTAAACCAACACCTCTCCTCTCCTCTTAGACTTACGTAAAGAGAGATTAAGAAGTGGTTGGAAACAACTCTCAATCCTAGAAGACTACTTGAAGATCAAGTTGGAGTTATACTTTAGACATCATCTTTGAGGTAAGATTTCATGAGCCCTTCATCTCTTCAAGTGAGTAGAATAAACTCTAACTAGTTTATATGACTAGATCTTGGACTAATATAGCCATGTATGCATCTTTCATCTTTAAAATCACCTCTTAAGTATAACATCTCTAAATGGCCGAACCTCAATGGTATGCATGCACCCTCTAAATATTCACAATATTTACTAAGCAACCTAACCCTAAATGACCGAATCTATATGTGCCCGACTAGATATTGAATATGTTCTTTAAGGTAATATGAAAAGTGTTAAAGTAGATGTTTTAAACAACATGTAGGTAAGCATTACTTGAAGAATCACCACCTAAATGGCATTAATCCTAAAGGGCCGAACTTGATGAGTATTAGACCCAAGAACATGTTGTCAAAATTATCCCTAGGCATGCACCCTCTAAATGGCCGAACCCTAATAAGCCTAAAAGGGAAATATGTGAAGGTTTTCTTAATACCATGATGTGTGGCCGAAATGTATGCCATAGAATATGACTTATGCATGAAAACAATTAGTAAAAATTATCTCCTAGGCATTTTCATCCTTAGAGAGCCGAACCTATGACATGGAGAATATTAAAGTTTAGATCTTTTAATTTTAGAACCATGTACTAAGGTTGAATATGTGGCTAGGACAAACCAAAGCTTGAAAAGAGATCCAAGTGGACCTTCATTTGGCCGAATCCAGCACCTACGGGAAGAATTTACAAAGCGAAAAAGTGTAAGTGATTTATGGTTGTTGAAGCGGCTACCCTATGGTTGCCACCCCTTTATGTTAAAGTGAGGTTTGACTGCAATATGTTATATGATGCATTACATGATATGTTTGGTTGTTTGGAACTAATGTTTATTCATGCAAGTTTTGTAAGATGGCCTGTGCACTAATACCACAGAGGCAACCTGACGAGGACCCTGGGTATTCGTCCATAAGACCATGGAGAGTAATTGCCATGGCAGGATTGGTATGATGATATGAAAACATGATTATTTTCCAAACTATGTTTCCAATGTTTTGCCATTCTATTATTGTACATGTTATTATGTGACTATTGCAGGAGTAAGCATCATGGTTTGGAGGTTGCTCCAACTGTGAGTCCTTACTGAGACCCCCAATCTCACCCCTCTTTGGGGAAACCCACTTTCAGGAAAAAAATGACTAAATGGGTAAGGCAGGGAAAGAGGCTGGTACGAGTTGAAGAGGAACCTGCACAACCACGTGCAGTTGAAGATGACTCCAAACTAATGGAGATATTTAGGAACTTACTAGCCGAAGGAAAGCTCTTGGAGGCAGACTATCTTATATCTGCTCTAGCTGGGCCCATGTGGCTTGAAGAGGCACCTTCCTAAGGGTGTACCTAAGTTCTAATTTGGGATGACTGTAATAGACTATGCCACTTAGACTATTTTGAACATCTTATATGCCTTTGAAGTACGATATTTTGGGATGTTTATGTTTTATGGACTTATGAATTTAGTAGGAAAGATTAAGTAACATAAGTCACTATCCGCATAAGACACTTAAGTAACTACCTACTGGGTAGTAGTCAACACTAAAATTATGATCATGTAAGTGAGCTCCTAAAGTAGCGCATAAGTGTAAGTAGGGTAACCAAGTAGAGATGAACGTGTAAGTAGACTGTAGACAAAGCAAAAGAGAAACTCATGACTAGAGGAATAGATAAGTTAGGAAAAAGAACGAAATAAATTCCTATTAGTAAATTTTAAGTTAACCACGCTTAAGTACATTGATTCCGCGCATTGAATGTCAAGCAATGTTACACCTTTGATGAGGATATTAAGGGTGTTACATTTTTATGGTATCAGAGCAAATTTCTGATCTTTAGGATGAGAATTACACTCTAACTCCTTTATTTTACCTGTAACATATGTGCAGCATTATGCCTCCACGTAGGGTACCTACTCGCAGTAACCCGCAAGGACCCGAGGACATACAAGGCCAGATTAACAACTTACGGGACACCATTACCCAGATGCAGACTAATGTAGGGGAAATGTTCCAAAATATTTTGAATGAAATCAGGCGCCACCCTCACAACGCGACCAATAATAATAACGTCGCAAGTGGCTCAGGCACTGGAGGAACCGGTAGTGGTGGACCCCAACCGCAACCAGAACATGGAGCGGCGGGCCAAAATAATCAAGATCTGCTGCTGACATTTAGGAAGCACAAGCCACCCTCCTTTCAAGGAGGACACGATCCAATAGTAGCTGTGCAGTGGCTACAGGCCATGGACAAAATATTCAGAGTGGTTCAATGCACCGATGATCAAAAGGTGTTGTTCTCAGTGTATATGTTGGAAGGAGACGCCCATCATTGGTGGGCTAATGCGTCCCAACCCTTGGTGATGCAAAATGCGGTAATTACGTGGGCCATGTTCGAAGAAATGTTCTTGGAGAAGTATTTCCCGATGTCAATCCGGGATAGCAAGCAGGGCGAGTTCGATCGACTCGTTCAAGGAACCATGACGGTGGATCAGTATCATGCGAAATTCAACGAACTACTCCGACTGGCAACTTACCGAGGAACTATGCCCATGCCAGACTTTCTGGCAGCAAAATTTCAAAGGGGTTTATCCGCTAGGATTGCGGAACTGGTAGCTGGCAATGACCCCTGTGACCTAGCCACCCTGGTGAACAAATGTAGAAAGATGGAAGCGATAGGATTGCAAGCAAGGAAGCCTGCAGAGACCAGCGGATCTGGAACCAAAGCTCCGATGGCTAAGAATGGACAATGGAGAGGAAAACGCGAAGGCAGACCGTGGCAGCCCAGGCGTGATGATAACAAGTTCAAGAGGCCCGGGAATCCTCGAGGAAATGGCAACAGAGCTCCCAATTGCCCCAAATGTAAGAAGGCCCATTTCGGCAACTGTTTGAATGGGTCGACACAATGTTACAAGTGCGGCCAAGAAGGACACTTCATCAAAGATTGTCCACAATGGGGAGAACAACAGACAACCGCAGAGGCGCCAAGAGTGGGCAGAGTTTACACACTGGATCAACATGTGGCGGACCAGGCGGCCGAACTAGTTAAAGGTACGATCAATATATGTGATGAAAAACTATATGTTTTATTTGACTCTGGTGCGACCAATCCTTCATTGCTGATTATGTGGCAAAAGCCTTTAACCTAACTATGAGCCCAATGCAATCCCCTATGCAAGTCACCTCTGCGACGGGGGAAGTGACAATGTCTCACTTCATATGTAGAACTGTAGAATTCAGATACAAAGGAAAGAAGTACAACCAAGACTTCATAATCCTCCCCTTAGCCAAACTGAACCTGATTTTGGGAATGGATTGGCTGGCCAAACAACACGTAGTAATTGATTGTAACAGCCGAAGTATAATAGTCGGCGGGGACATGATGGGGACCCCACTCCCCAATACTCCACCGGTCGAATCAGGAGATTGCACTTTCATGCTAATAGCCGGTCTAGTAGGTGCGAGCGAGATCCCGTTGATGAACATTCATGTGGTCAAAGAATTCAAGGATGTATTTCCTGACGACATTACCACCTTTCCCCCTGAAAGGGAAGTGGAGTTTTCTATTGAACTTATTCCCGGGACTGGACCAATCTCAATTGCACCCTACCGTATGTCTCCCCTTGAATTGGTAGAATTGAAGAAGCAATTAGAAGACCTGCTAGGGAAGAATTTCATCCGACCCAGTGTATCCCCGTGGGGAGCACCAGTTCTATTTGTAAAGAAGAAGGACGGATCGATGAGACTTTGCACAGACTATCGGCAACTCAACAAGGTGACTGTAAAAAACAAATACCCATTGCCTCGTATCGAGGACATAATTGATCAGTTAAGAGGTGCAAAGGTGTTTTCGAAGATTGATCTTCGATCAGGATATCATCAGATCCGGATCAAACCGGAGGACATCCCGAAGACAGCTTTCAGATCAAGATACGGGCACTATGAGTACTTGGTCATTCCCTTCGGATTGACTAATGCCCCGGCAGTATTCATGAGCTACATGAAGCAGATCTTCCAACCGTACTTGGATCGATTCGTGGTCGTATTCATCGATGACATACTGATATACTCGAAGAGCAAAGAGGAGCATGAAGAACACTTGAGAATTGTGCTACAAGTGTTGCGGGAGAAACAACTGTATGCGAAACCATCAAAGTGTGAATTCTGGTTGCCAGAGATTCAGTTTCTTGGACATGTAATCTCAGAGAAAGGAGTAGTAGTGGATCCCAGCAAGATTGAAGCAGTAGTAGATTGGGAACGTCCAAAGACTGTCACAGAGATAAGGAGCTTCCTTGGACTAGCAGGATACTATCGGAGATTCATTGAAGGATTCTCGAAGCGGGTATTGCCACTCACCCGACTAACAAGAAAGGAGGTCCCTTTTGTGTGGACCGAAGAATGTGAAACGTGTTTCCAAGAGTTAAAAAGAATGGTGACTACAGCTCCAATACTGACACTGCCAGACCCGGAGGAACCATTTGAGGTATACTGTGATGCCTCCAAGATAAGCTTGGGATGTGTACTGATGCAGCATGGCAGACCAGTAGCATATGCATCCCGACAGTTGAAGCCGCATGAAGAAAACTACCCCACTCACGATCTAGAACTAGCAGCGATCGTGTTTGCCCTGAAGATATGGCGTCATCACCTGTACGGTGCAACCACAACAGTTTATAGCGATCACAAGAGCCTCAAGTATTTGTTTGATAAAAAAGAACTGAACATGAGACAGCGCCGTTGGATGGAGTTCATAAAGGACTACAACTTTGAATTGCAATACCATCCCGGCAAGGCGAACGTAGTTGCAGATGCCTTGAGCAGAAAAACCAGAATGGTCGCAAGCATGATGATAGCCGAGCATCAACTGATAGAGGACTTCCGAAACTTAGGCCTAGCAGTGGTGAATAGCGAATGCGAGGCCAGATATTGGGCGGTGCAGATCACCGACGAACTACTAGAAAAGATCAAACAGGCTCAGCAAGCCGTCGACTGTTTGAAGAGGTTAAGGAATCTGGTGTTAGCCTGAACCAGCAAGGTATAATTACCTTCCAAGATTGACCAAATCAGCACATTTTATACCGGTAAAAAAAACTTACACGACAAAGAAGTTGGCT